TTAGTCGCTGGCTTCCCACCGCGGCGGCCTGGGTTCGATCTCGGGTCTGGTCAAGTGGGAACTGTGGTGGACAAAGTGGCGCTGGGACAGGTTTTCTCCGAGTACTTCGGTTTCCCCTGCCAATCTTCATTCCACCAATTGCTCCACAATCACCCTCACCTATCATCTGGGGCTGGTACAATAGGCCAGAAGTGGCCGCAGTACAAGGGACTTAGTCCCACCCCACTAGCAATAAAGAAATACATAAAAGGAACCCATACAGAAGAAATTATGTCTCTCCTTCAGTTATCATTTTTCAGCTCTAGAACCGCTATACGGTCTTTAAAGACTTTCGGTACGAACATTAGGTAACTGGAGGTCACCACAAGCTTCTATGTTTTATTTGCTTTCCGTTTTCTATCTAGGCTATACAGCGTCAATTGGTAGGACGATGAACCGGAAATGACGGGGAAGGATACGGTCGTGGCCTAAGCTACTAAATCTGCAGTTGCCTGGAGGGACTAAGGAAAATCACGAAATATTTCAGTCAGTATAGCAGGTGTCTCATCCGAAATTTGAACCAAATCCCTTTCGAAAAAACCCAAGATTGTTATCGTTAGGCCAACTTACTCGCCAAGAATTCTTTTTCTCTATATTTTGGCACAAATAAAAGTTTGTACAAAAGCGGCCTGAAACCACGCAAGAATACATCCAAGATTGGCTTGAGCTGGATGAAGGAGACCATGGATTTCGGCTTCTGACAGAAGAATAAATTGTTGCAGTGATTTTTTTTATTTATTTTCATCAGCACTACCTATATTATTAAATTTTTCAGTTATTTGTTTGTTTTTTTTTATTTTTTTTTGTCTTTTAGGGTTATTTTGCGTTACTAACCCGGATGACCTCTCCTCTATTTAATCGGGATTAGCTAGTGTTTAATGTACTTAAATGTAAACCGTATGAGCGGGGGTGTCACAACCGGCGAAGTTCGCCACGGCGTGAACTAAAAGAGCAGCGCCCCTGTCGGCGTCACATTCCGTTTGCACCGGGCAAGTCTTGTCTGACGTCATCCCCATTCCACAGGTAACAAGATAAAGCATTTATATAACATATATAACAAGCTCCATCGTCTGGCGATCTGAAAAATATTTTATGAGGTAAAAGGAAGACTTCTTTTTCAAATATCTCATCTTGATTTTTGCTCAATTCCTATTTCCAATAGTGCAAATGTGAAGAACCGGGCAACGAAAACGCAATAAAATCGATATCTGCCTTACACTGACATCTAGCGATATTCCAGTAGAACTTCTTGCAACTATATAAAGAGACTCTGCTACTTAAAGATTTATTTTTATTTGGGAAAAATAAATGTATATGCAGAAATGGACTAAGCAATGCACATATACAGCCCTCTGACTTAACGAAAGTTGGTGATAAGACTTACTTCTTGGTAAACACATTCCAGTGAAGCTTATGCATGCTACAATAGGACGTTCATTGCTAGACAACGGACAAATAAACCCTCTTCCTTAATAATACAGGCTGCATTTTCTTTGTAGTTCGTGCCCAGGGGTTATAAAAGGGGATATTCAGAAATGGACAGAATATCCACTTTGTTAATCATGTAAAATATCTGGGTGAAATCTTCGATAAGAGGACTGCGTGAAGATTTCACATAGAAATGATTGAAGCCAAGGCCTTCAGAGTATTTATTAAAAATCTACTCCCTATTCAACAGTGAGCGTTTAAACGCAAATATTAAACTAACCCTCTATAAGGCACTGATCAGATCAGTAATGACTTACGCTTGTCCCGCTTGGCAATTAGTGGCAGACACGTTCCTTTTAAATTGCAGAGTATGCAAAACAAGGCTCTGCGCACCACTGAATATTTTTCAAGGTGGACACCGGTCCGCGAATTGCACACAGCTTTCAATTTTCCGTATGTGTATGATCATATAACAAAATTGTGCAGGCGACAAGCAGAAGTCATACAAAATCATGAGAATGAACATGTTCGCGGTATAGGACAAGGCGAAGCCTTGGTGGTAAAGCTTACGACCGTTTAAATGACTAAGCTGCCGTTGTAGCATAAGATATGTAAGTTAGGCATGACCTACTCTGTAAAGCCTGTACTTACAGTGGACTTGTGTGTAGTGCAAAAGGAAGAATTTTCAATAACATGCTGTATATGTGGGAAATGTACACTTGATGAAAGGCCAAGCGTATTCTTTAGAGACAAACCCGTCTTTTTGTCAGAGAGGATATTACATAAGGACTATTACCGCAAGAGTTCAGTTGGAAAAAAAATCTCTGGTCGTAGACCTCAAGAGGCCTGACGCATAGATGAACTGATTGGCGGTAAACCGCCAGTCGTAAAGTGAAGTAGTCGAGGAGGAATTTGGTCGAGTTCTGGTAATGATAGGCAAAGACGATTGAGAAGAAATGGCAAGAAAGGAATTAGGGGGTGCAAAGAAGACTTCGTGCGTGATTTGAAGTTAGAGTAAGACTGTGATAAATCAGTTGCCAGGATACGGCTAGTGAGACTGAGAAGCTTACTGGGAGTGTGGAATGCTGAACTGGAAAGTGCAGAACAGCGATAGCGCTGTAATTACCTGTAGCCCCAGGTTGTGAATGTATTGATTGATTGATCAGTACTCTGTCAGACGACAGGTCCACAGCCTCCTCCAAAACAGCTCCTCCACTTAATGTGATCTTCTGTTTTTGGAAAGAGACTATCCAGGAAAAGTGATAATGTGGTAGTTTTTCCATTTGCTNGATCTTCAAGTTACAGAAGTAACTCGAGGCAGAAAATATGGTACGGATATAAGGAAACCGAAACATTAACCAGTCAGCACAAGTAAGGGGAACAGTGTAAAGAATATTGGCCCTTTCTTGCGTCTTTTTCAGGAATATAGTAAAAAATGTAACTGTAAGTTAACCCTGCGCTTAATGAATTAAGCAGCATGCCATGAATATGCATGGGAGAATGGAAGTAAAGCTTCAAGATTCTTAAACTCTGCACTGGATGCAGGTGAGTAGTAAGCATCACGCCCCGGCAGCTTTAGCCCGGGGAAAAGGTTCCGGTGTCCATTAGATAGAAGGCTACATGTGCAGAAGGGCTGTTCTGGACGATGTGGAGCAGAGAGAAATTTCTTGCCCCTGCCGGAAATCGAACCCCGGTCGTCCAGCCCTCAACCCATGGCTATACCGACTGAGCCATGCCTGTGAGAAAGAATGTACGGCGAACAAATTGGAGTGCGAAAACTATTGTCCCTTTAAGGGGTCTTTTTCAGTATGTCGCACGGTGTTGTACTCCAGAAGATGCCATCTTCATTGTGAGCGCTGTGGGTACCTCGTGTCTCCCATTACGTACGCTCTTGAAGAAGTTACGGGAGTTGTACCGCAGTTGCACTGTGCCAACTAATTACTAAGCCATTTCGTACAACCTGAATTAGGCAGCGCGAGGGAACACTCCATTACGCCCCTGGGAGCCTACTACAATTATACTAATGAATTAGAGCTTAGCGGGGAGACATATGTAGTTCTTCCTTTCTAAGCAGATTATTTTTCCCCCCACAGTGGGGAGAAGAGGTTATTAAAATATCGTAATGTTGGCATTACTCTTGTGGAGCGGTGTCGCGCGAATTCTTTTGGTATAAATAACTTACAATTGACATTAATTACATTCTGTCTCTAAAGGATGAGAAGTCTATGTGCGAATGAAAAGACAGGTTCCAGCCATTCAGTGTTTTACATTTCCTCACTGAATTGCCAGGCCAATGTAACGAAGTGTTCTGAGAGGAGCATAAACTAGGAGGGCGATGGATCCAACCCCAGTGCCGAGCTGAGGACCTCAAGACAGCCTGAAGAGTTACTCTGGAGGATGGATGTGAGGACATTTCATAAGTCCTTCATAATGAAACGAACTATGGCAGTGCCATAGGTAAGGCGTTTAGCCGCCGGCTTCCCACTGTGGCTGCCGGGTTCGATCTCAGGCGTCATGTGGGATTTGTGGTAGTGGAACAGATTTTCTTCCGAGTACTTCGGTTTCCCCAGCCAATTGTCACCGTGCTATCTTCCCTTAGCTCTAATCCCGGAGAGGGCTGGCTGTTTGGGAGTCACTGAGTTATTTTTCAGTCACCGAACCTCGCGGGGTGTCTGAAGTAAACCTAGTAAGCGAGATGGTAGTAGCAAGATAATGCCGACTACGTTACTTTGTGTCAGTGTTTGGGAGATTTCAATTTCAGGCATTATCACGGCAGAAATGATTCTACAAAAATTAAACATGCAAATGGGTACAAATGCTGATGAAATGACATGGTTCAGTTATTGTCATGTGTAACTTGAAACGGGGTCATTGGTGAACAGAAACACGAAACGCGACAAATAAATATCAGCTGGCTCCACATCTAAACGACAACATCAAATTGCATTAAACATTTGAAGCGTAAAATACATCTAAACAATATTTAAAAATTCAGTTCGTACCTCACAGGAAACATAGTCTGTGTCCACAGCAACCAACAGACGGTTAACGCTGTTTAGGGGAAAATCGTTGTTAATTACGATAATCAGACGAAACACATAAATACACTATGTGGAAAAAATTCTCAGTTTTTGGATATAAAACAGGAGATAAAGTAAAGGAAAGCTATCCCTGTAACAGGCCGTGAAGGCCCATAGGGTTGTGAGACGTTGAGGGTCCCACATTATCTAGACAATCGGCTCAAAGACGGCGGTAAGGTTGTCAGCCTTACGCGTCGACCGCGCGCCTGGTACTCATTTCTGTTAGAGGCTGAGTAAACCCCAGTGCCATAGTGCGTCTGGATGGATTAGGTCGATTGAAAAAAATTCAATGACCTCATCGGGACATGAACCCGCGATCTTTCAGCTTGTAGCAAGCGCCTCCATTTATACCGTGTTCCTCCGAAACATCGACTAACATTACCCGACTAAAGGTGGCAACAGTATTCACGAAGCCATGACTCCGTGCTTGCGTAAGGGAGAAATCGAGCCTACCTGCTGCCCATGGCTGTACGTGGTTCCCGCCACGGAGCACGGGTCAGGATCACTCTGGTTCGAAGCCTCCTGTTGCACTACAATACCAGAAGGCAGCACCGTCGTGGGCGCTGAAACAGAAGAGATATGCTTGCCTTTATGAAGTTCACATAACCTATCCTTACGACTGTCAGTCTTATGAGATCAGGTTAGGATAGGCTGAACACTGACTGACATATGCAGAATTGCACCCTTCATTTCGTCCCTTTTGAGTGAGCACCCCAATAAAATAACCGAAGTGGATGGTACGAGTATAGTGACAACCATTTAGACTCGTATTAGATTGGTGCTCAGTTCGAATATAGGCTGGGACACCAGATATTCTGAGGTTCTCCGTGGATATTCCTTAAATCCTCCAGAGAAATTCTGGGATAGTATCTGGATTTCAGCCACGACCGTCTCCTTATAAATCCTTTACAAGTCATCATTCGTCCTACCATTAAACGGTACAGTATAAGCCTGGGTTACTGAGAGCGCCCTGAAACTCCCTCCCTCTAAGTGAAAGTAGTTGTTTATTGACATACAGTTCTTTTTATTGCTAGTGGGGTGGGACTAAGTCCCTTGTACTGCAGCCACTTCTGGCCTATTGTACCAGCCCCAGATGATAGGTGAGGGTGATTGTGGAGCAATTGGTGGAATGAAGATTGGCAGGGGAAACCGAAGTACTCGGAGAAAACCTGCCCCAACGCCACTTTGTCCACCACAAATCCCACTTGACCAGACCCGGGATGTAACCTGGGCCGCCGCGGTGGAAAGCCAGCGACTAACCGCTTGAGCTATGGCGCGGTCCTTAACTTACAGTTCCCGGCAGGTATAACAATTTTCTCCACAACATCCAGACCGTCTCCGGAGCTCAATCCAGCACCATATCCAATGAGTACCGGGGGACGGTTTCCCTGGACTAAACCGACCTGGGCGTGAAGCTGACCACTCAACTCCATCTTGTGCCAAAGTTAAGAACGATGGAGATATACCTCCACTTCCTCATGCGTTTTTATGATGTGGTGTTGTAAACACAGGGACAATTTTACCTTAACTCCACGGAGCTGGTTACATGTTGAGAAGCTTAGAGTTGCGCAGCAACTGTAGCAATTACCAGCATTTTATAGGACCCGAAAGTTCATTGCCGTGTTCAAAAGAGCCTGCCACTTGTCCCTACTCTGAGCCAGATGAAATCCTTCGATATCTCCATCCTACTTCACTAAGATATATTTTAATGTTATCGTGCCATGTTCGTCTGGGTCTTCCTAGTGGTCTCTTTCATTCAGATATTTCTACCCAAATCATACATGGACTCATTTTTCCCTTATGCGTGCTACATGCCATGCCCTTCTCATCCTTCTTGAATTGATCACTCTACCAGATTTTGAGGAGGAGTAAAAGTTATGACGGCTTAGAAAACCTAAACTAACTGCCGTCGGGATTCATTGCGCTGACCACGCCAGACACTCTATCCGCTAAAGTTAGCACTAACTTCGTCGACAAGCGGCGGTCACTCATTTGGTATAGTTAACTTAGGGACTAAAGCCACGGAGTTTGTAAAAGTTATTAGGCTCCTCGTTATGTAATTGTCTCCATCCTCCTGTCATTTTATTTCTGTTGGGTTCAAAGATTCCCCTTAGTACCCTACTTTCGGGCACCCTCGATCTCAGTTCTTCCCACAATATCAGAGAGAGAATTTCACACCTATACAAAACTAGGGCAAACTTACAGTTTTACTTTTTCACACATCAGAAGGGAAAACAGAAGGTTCTGAACTGAATGGCAGCGGCCATTGCCCGGACCGCATAGAGAACATCGCTTCCCATTATTGTTGTACCCTCCTGTTGCTGTAGAATTGTTGCCATCATGTCTGTTGGCAGAGCCGTTACCTAGCAACGGGTCTACATGCTACAGTATCATTTAAGGTACGCCATAGCTTCAGTAGGCAACCTTACGGAGGAGAAGTCCCTGTGGGTGTTCAATGAGCTCTCCGGTATGACGATTTTTGTTTACATTGTGTTGGGAACAGGACATCTTAACTTCGGAATGGTGACGTAATGATTTATATCATTGTTTGTTGGTGGAGAACAGTCAAGTAGGTTTTGGACTAACGATTCCAAAACATTTTGGCACGATACCCTGTCCATTGTTTCCAGCAAAACCTTCAAGCCCCCTTCAATTTTTTTATTGAAATAAATTCAACCCTTCGCCCTCGTGTATATATTAATTTTATGACGAAGGAGCTCGTAATTAGCACCACAGCAAAACCGCGAGTAAAAAAATTAAATTTTTATAAATGAAATGCCGCAGAGTGCTCTGTGTTTGGCAGTGAATAATGCCGATAAATGTTGAAGCCTAATTACACTAGTTTCTATTCAATGTGTGGATTAGTTTCTTGGGGTGGGGTGGGACTGTGTTCACTTGGTACGTCGGCCACTATTTGGCCTATTGTTCCAGCTCCGGATGATAGACGATGATGGAGCAGGAAACCTTAGTACTCGGAGAAAATCTGCCCCAGTGTCACTTTGTCCACCACAAATCCCACATAACCTGACCTGGACCCGAACCCGAGCCGCCGACTAACAGTCTCAGGTATGACACGGCCAATGTCAGGGTTAGCAGTTCTGACTGGTGCTTGCAGAAGAAATGATTATATTGAGCTAAAGGAATTCAGTATTTCGGTGGAATTTGGCACTAGAATTGATTTTATATCTCACTGGTTCACGGCCCACAAGGGTGGGGGGACACGCCTAGTTGGAATCCACTATTTTAGACAAGCAATGTCAAGCAGTTGACTTTCATGCCTTCTTCAGGTCTACATATTCACATCGGCATTCTGTTCAGTGTGTGTGAGCACTCGGTAAACGTGAATGCAGTCTGCAGATTGGTGACTATGATAAACAGGCCCCCGGTGCCGGGCCAGCAGTTCCCATGGGAGCAACTCCCGACATTATCGCCGAGCGCTTTCAATTGTTTGGCGCTGACATCTATAGCAAACGTTGCCAGAAATTAACAAACGCTGTGAATGAGACCGGTCTTGTTACTCAGCTAACAGAGTTCGGACTCAACGCTGTGACATGTAACTGGACCACGTATGGGACATAAGTGCATATAATGCAAGAACGAAGCTCTGGTACGAAAACCTGGAGCAAGAAGACTACTAGAAATACCTAGATGTAGGTGGGAGGATAATATTAAAACGGAGTTTAAAGAAATAAGATTAGAGGCTGTGAAATGTATACATTTGGCTCAGAATAGGGATGAATGGCGAGCTATTATGAACACGGTAATGAACATTCGGGTTCCATAAAATATTGGAATATTTTAAGTGACAATGTAACAATTGGCTTCTCAAAAAGATCTCAGCTCTGCAGGGTTAGTTACAGTACCAGATCTCCTATTCATTAGATTAAAAGTCTTGGGAAAAAATGAAACTAAAATTTTATGCCCAGTACACTTATTTAAATTATAAAATTTTCGAGGCAATAAATAAAAACGGACGGGGAGAAGACGTCACAATTGTTCATGACTACACCTCCTCAACGTTCTCAGAACTTGCAGCTGCGACGTAGAATGCAGATGTGTATTTAGGAAGACTAGACGAGCCTGCTTCCAGAAGAGAACACAATTTGTGAAACACCCTGCACCAGTTCAGCTGCATGAGATAAAGCGGATGCCTGGTAGGAGACAAAGTGACATAGCAGCTTCGTGGAAGGAAATATGTACGAGTATATCTTTATTTGTGTGGTCGCTTATATTGATATCCCAGCAACCTGGAGCACGCATGGAGCGCTCCAGTGTTGTGCCGAAGTACTACTGTATGTTCAAAACATCTGTGATGTTGCCTCATCTTCAGATAGTGACGTACATCGTTACGCCACCGTTAGAAAGCAAGTATATCTTATTTTCCTGAATCCGATGGGAACCAAAATCGCCATATGCGAGATCCCATTGAATACAGAGAACTCACTTAAGGAGTGATGTACACTCAGAGATGTAAGTTTTGAGGTTTTCACGGCGATGACTATGAAGAAAGTCGTCTTCTGGGATCTGGCGCCGTGTATTCTTTGTTTCAGCTCTCTGCATTCGCAAAGCAATTCAAATGCCCTGAAGATGGAGGCGATACGTTCCTCCGAAACGTCGGATGAAACAACGAATACACGGCGCCAGATCCCAGAAGACGACTTTCTTTAAACTCAGAGAAGTTTTGGATAAAGTTTAAAGGTCATAGATACAACGAAAAACGAGAAACACTGTACTTTTTAGGCGCATTAAATCAACATTACGAGCCTTTATGAATTTATAATTTCTCATACATATGTGTAGAGTGTTGCAGTATGATCTCACTGAGTTTTTATGTTTGATAGAATCGTCAGGTGCGGACAATGATCCATGAAACCTCGGTAATTTTTACCAGTTGACATGACTGATATGTGTAAAGTTTCAGATTTTAGATTCTGTGTTTACTGAGACGTTTCCTATATTTGATTAAATAAGAGCAAAATTACTGTCACATGTTTGGAATCCAGAAGTGTTACTTCCATGGAAACGCTACAACAGACCGTTGCATAAAAAGTAACAATAGCGGTACTGTAATTCTAACAGTGAGCCGTTGCGTAGAGAACGCCGAATCTCCACGGAGATGAATAACCGAAGACCCGTTACGTAACAGCGGACAGTAGAAACGAAACCGTGAGGAATGATGTCTGGTATCCAGTCCGCAGAACACCTATATAAGCCGAGAGGTACAGAGACAGAAGAACACCCGTGAGGAGGCGGGGTCGAAAGCCTCCACCGTGACCCTGCGAGTCGTAGGAGGAAGTCTCAAATCTGAGACAGTAAAATATGGTCGCGAGTCTCAAGGGACTCGGACCCGAGAAAGACTGCGCTGGCAGTATATATAAAAGACAGACCCGTCCTCTCGTCAGAGAGGGCGCCCCTCAAAAACAATACCGTAAATGTCAAACAGTATAAATATCTGATCATGAGCCCCATCTGGGGCTCGACACCAAGACTTACTGACTGACTGTCCGTCAGTCGCAATGTGACTTTGATTTGACTTGACTTCAACAGAAAAAGACAGCAAGAA